GTGAACCCTAGGGGTCTGTGTAGAGGAGTTGGGGTGTGGAAGGGGTGAACCCTAGGGGTCTGTGTAGTGGAGGAGGTGGGGCATGACAGGGGGGAACCCTAGGGGTCTGTGTAGTGGAGGTGGGGTATGGAAGGGGTGAACCCTAGGGGTCTGTGTAGTGGAGGTGGGGTATGGAAGGGGTGAACCCTAGGGGTCTGTGTAGAGGAGGTGGGGCATGACAGGGTGAACTCTAGGGGTCTGTGTAGAGGAGGTGGGGCATGACAGGGTGAACCCTAGGGGTCTGTGTAGAGGAGGAGGTGGGGTATGACAGGGTGAACCCTAGGGGTCTGTGTAGTGGAGGTGGGGTATGGAAGGGGTGAACCCTAGGGGTCTGTGTAGAGGAGGTGGGGCATGACAGGGTGAACTCTAGGGGTCTGTGTAGAGGAGATGGGGCATGACAGGGTGAACCCTAGGGGTCTGTGTAGAGGAGGAGGTGGGGTATGACAGGGTGAACCCTAGGGGTCTGTGTAGAGGAGGTGGGGTATGACAGGGGGGAACCCTAGGGGTCTGTGTAGTGGAGGTGGGGTATGGAAGGGGTGAACCCTAGGGGTCTGTGTAGTGGAGGAGGTGGGGCATGACAGGGGGGAACCCTAGGGGTCTGTGTAGTGGAGGTGGGGTATGACAGGGTGAACCCTAAGGGTCTGTGTAGAGGAGGTGGAGTATGGAAGGGTTGAACTCTAGGGGTCTGTGTGGAGGAGGTGGGGTATGGAAGGGGTGAACTCTAGGGGTCTGTGTGGAGGAGGTGGGGTATGGAAGGGTTGAACCATAGGGGTCTGTGTAGAGGAGGTGAGGTATGGAACGGTTGAACGCTAGGGGTCTGTGTAGTGGAGGTGGGGTGTGGAAGGGGTGAACTCTAGGGGTCTGTGTAGTGGAGGTGGGGTGTGGAAGGGGTGAACTCTAGGGGTCTGTGTAGAGGAGGTGGGGTATGGAACAGTTGAACCCTAGGGGTCTGTGTAGTGGAGGAGGTGGGGCATGACAGGGGGGAACCCTAGGGGTCTGTGTAGAGGAGGTGGAGTATGGAAGGGTTGAACTCTAGGGGTCTGTGTAGAGGAGGTGGAGTATGGAAGGGTGAACTCTAGGGGTCTGTGTAGAGGAGGTGGAGTATGGAAGGGTTGAACTCTAGGGGTCTGTGTAGAGGAGGTGGGGTATGGAACAGTTGAACCCTAGGGGTCTGTGTAGTGGAGGAGGTGTGGTATGGAAGGGTTGAACTCTAGGGGTCTGTGTAGTGGAGGTGGGGTATGGAAGGGGTGAACCCTAGTGGTCTGTGTAGAGGAGGTGGGGTATGGAAGGGGTGAACCCTAGGGGTCTGTGTAGTGGAGGTGGGGTATGGAAGGGTTGAACCATAGGGGTCTGTGTAGAGGAGGTGGGGTATGGAAGGGTTGAACCCTAGGGGTCTGTGTAGTGGAGGTGGGGTGTGGAAGGGGTGAACCCTAATGGTCTGTGTAGAGGAGGTGGAGTATGGAAGGGTTGAACCCTAGGGGTCTGTGTAGAGGAGGTGGGCAGTGGAAGAGGTGAACCCTAGGGGTCTGTGTAGAGGAGGTGGAGTATGGAAGGGTTGAACCCTAGGGGTCTGTGTAGAGGAGGTGGGCAGTGGAAGGGGTGAACCCTAGGGGTCTGTGTAGAGGAGGTGGGGTGTGGAAGGGGTGAACCCTAGGGGTCTGTGTAGAGGAGGTGGGGTATGGAAGGGGTGAACCCTAGGGGTCTGTGTAGAGGAGGTGGGGTGTGGAAGGGGTGAACCCTAGGGGTCTGTGTAGAGGAGGTGGGGTATGGAAGAGTTGAACCATAGGGGTCTGTGTAGAGGAGGTGGGCAGTGGAAGGGGTGAACCCTAAGGGTCTGTGTAGAGGAGGTGGGGTGTGGAAGGGGTGAACCCTAATGGTCTGTGTAGAGGAGGTGGAGTATGGAAGGGTTGAACCCTAGGGGTCTGTGTAGAGGAGGTGGGCAGTGGAAGGGGTGAACCCTAGGGGTCTGTGTAGAGGAGGTGGGGTGTGGAAGGGGTTAACCCTAGGGGTCTGTGTAGAGGAGGTGGGGTATGGAAAGGGTGATCTCTAGGGGTCTGTGTGGAGGAGGTGGGGTATGACAGGGTGAACCCTAGGGGTCTGTGTAGAGGAGGTGGGGTATGACAGGGTGAACCCTAGGGCTCTGTGTGGAGGAGGTGGAGTATGGAAGGGGTGACCCTAGGGGTCTGTGTAGAGGAGGTGGGGTATGGAAGGGTTGAACCCTAAGGGTCTGTGTAGAGGAGGTGGGGTATGGAAGGGTTGAACCCTAGGGGTCTGTGTAGAGGAGGTGGGGTATGGAAGGGGTGAACCCTAGGGGTCTGTGTAGAGGAGGTGGGGTGTGGAAGGGGTGAACCCTAGGGGTCTGTGTAGAGGAGGTGGGGTATGGAAGGGTTGAACCCTAGGGGTCCGTGTAGTGGAGGTGGGGTGTGGAAGGGGTGAACCCTAGGGGTCTGTGTAGAGGAGGTGGGGTATGGAAGGGTTGAACCCTAAGGGTCTGTGTAGAGGAGGTGGGGTATGGAAGGGTTGAACCCTAGGGGTCTGTGTAGAGGAGGTGGAGTATGGAAGGGGTTGAACCCTAGGGGTCCGTGTAGAGGAGATGGGGTGTGGAAGGGTTGAACCCTAGGGGTCTGTGTAGAGGAGGTGGGGTATGGAAGGGTTGAACCCTAGGGGTCTGTGTAGAGGAGGTGGGGTATGACAGGGTGAACCCTAGGGCTCTGTGTGGAGGAGGTGGGGTATGGAAGGGGTGAACCCTAGGGGTCTGTGTAGAGGAGGTGAGGTATGGAAGGGTTGAACCCTAGGGGTCTGTGTAGTGGAGTCGGGGTGTGGAAGGGGTGAACCCTAATGGTCTGTGTAGTGGAGGTGGGGTGTGGGAGGGTTGAACTCTAGGGGTCTGTGTAGTGGAGGTGGGGTATGGAAGGGTTGAACCCTAGGGGTCTGTGTAGAGGAGGTGGGCTATGGAAGGGTTGAACCCTAGTAGTCTGTGTAGAGGAGGTGGGGTGTGGAAGGGTTGAACCCTAGTGGTCTGTGTGGAGGAGGTGGGGTGTGGAAGGGTTGAACCCTAGTGGTCTGTGTAGAGGAGGTGGGGTATGGAAAGGGTTGAACCCTAGTAGTCTGTGTAGAGGAGGTGGGGTGTGGAAGGGTTGAACCCTAGGGGTCTGTGTAGAGGAGGTGGGCTATGGAAGGGTTGAACCCTAGTAGTCTGTGTAGAGGAGGTGGAGTATGGAAGGGTTGAACCCTAGTAGTCTGTGTAGAGGAGGTGGGGTGTGGAAGGGTTGAACCCTAGTGGTCTGTGTGGAGGAGGTGGGGTGTGGAAGGGTTGAACCCTAGTGGTCTGTGTAGAGGAGGTGGGGTATGGAAAGGGTTGAACCCTAGTAGTCTGTGTAGAGGAGGTGGGGTGTGGAAGGGTTGAACCCTAGGGGTCTGTGTAGAGGAGGTGGGCTATGGAAGGGTTGAACCCTAGTAGTCTGTGTAGAGGAGGTGGAGTATGGAAGGGTTGAACCCTAGTAGTCTGTGTAGAGGAGGTGGGGTGTGGAAGGGTTGAACCCTAGGGGTCTGTGTAGAGGAGGTGGGGTATGGAAAGGGGTTAACCCTAGGGGTCTGTATGGAAGAAAGTATAAAGGTTGAACTTCATATTGTGTGCCCTATCATCCAACTCAAACGCCGCTTTTATTCAATACTTTAACCCTCTGCTAATTGAATATACAACATAAAAAGTTTCTGTAAGTAATGACACTGTAACGGGACTTACATCTATCAGCTTCAAATGTCTCAAATTTCGTTTACTTGTTGAGAAATAATTATTTTTTTCCAGTTTGAAGTCCTTTCCTTCTGCATGAATGTTTTTGTTGTAGCTGTCTTGAAATGATATTACAGAGTTTGCCGGCAAAGGAAAAAGTTGACCTGGTCACTGGCTTACTACTCAAAAATAGTTTAAGGGGGCATATCTGTCTGGGCTTGCATGGTTTATGGGGAGAGTGTATAATGTGTATTTATTTTTAAGTCTTTAGTGGCTGTAAATGCTTTCAGAAAAGAGACGATTGATAATTTTAACGAGAGTTGAATGCACCTTTGAGCCTTGTAGACATTACACTTTTCACTTGCATCTGTTGAGGCTGTCATCGGTTGCAGTGTGATGGAGTTAAGACCTCAACAATGAGGGTCTTCAAAGTTTATGTAATAATGGTAAGTTAGGCCAATGCTGTTACCAAACAGATACGAGTAGCTTACCCTTTACTTTTGTATTCAGTGAGTGAGTGATTATTGCTACGCCGCATCAGCAATCTTGCAGCTATTCATGAACTTGGTTGTTCTTCATCAAAAGCCTTGCCTTGGGAAGCCTATCATTGGAATGACTGGCAATGTGTAATGGGAAGTCGGGCAATAGGAGGCCTGGCAATGGAAAGTCTGGCAGTGGGAAGTCTGGACATGGGAGGTCTGGTCATAGGAAGTCTGGACATGGGAGGTCTGGTCATAGGAAGTCTGGCAATAGGAGGCCTGGCATTTGGAAGTCTGGACTAGGAGGTCTGGCACTGGAAGTCTGGACATGGGAGGTCTGGACATGGGAGGTCTGGCACTGGAAGTCTGGACATGGGAGGTCTGGACATGGGAGGTCTGGTCATAGGAAGTCTGGCATTGGGAAGTCTGGACATGGGAGGTCTGGCATTGGGAAGTCTGGACATGGGAGGTCTGGCACTGGAAGTCTGGACATGGGAGATCTGGTCATAGGAAGTCTGGCATTTGGAAGTCTGGACATGGGAAGTCTGGCATTGGGAAGTCTGGACATGGGAGGTCTGGCACTGGAAGTCTGGACATGGGAGGTCTGGTCATAGGAAGTCTGGCATTTGGAAGTCTGGACATGGGAAGTCTGGCATTGGGAAGTCTGGACATGGGAGGTCTGGCACTGGAAGTCTGGGCATGGGAGGTCTGGTCATAGGAAGTCTGGACATGGGAGGTCTGGTCAAAGGATGTCTGGACATGGGAGGTCTGGCATTGGGAAGTCTGGACATGGGAGGTCTGGCACTGGAAGTCTGGACATGGGAGGTCTGGTCATAGGAAGTCTGGCATTGGGAAGTCTGGACATGGGAGGTCTGGCAATGGGAGATCTGGCCATGGAAAGTCTGGTCATGGGAGGTTTGGCAATGGTAAGCCTGGCCATGGGAAGTCTGGTCATGGGAAATCTGACAATGGAAAACCAGGTAATGGGAGGTCTGACCATGGGAAGTCTGACAATGGTAAGCCTGGCAATGGGAGGTCTGGCCATGGGAAGTCTGGACATGGGAGGTCTGGCACTGGAAGTCTGGACATGGGAGATCTGGTCATAGGAAGTCTGGCATTTGGAAGTCTGGACATGGGAAGTCTGGCATTGGGAAGTCTGGACATGGGAGGTCTGGCACTGGAAGTCTGGACATGGGAGGTCTGGTCATAGGAAGTCTGGCACTGGAAGTCTGGGCATGGGAGGTCTGGTCATAGGAAGTCTGGACATGGGAGGTCTGGTCAAAGGATGTCTGGCATTGGGAAGTCTGGACATGGGAGGTCTGGCACTGGAAGTCTGGACATGGGAGGTCTGGTCATAGGAAGTCTGGCATTGGGAAGTCTGGACATGGGAGGTCTGGCAATGGTAAGCCTGGCCATGGGAAGTCTGGTCATGGGAAATCTGACAATGGAAAACCAGGTAATGGGAGGTCTGACCATGGGAAGTCTGACAATGGTAAGCCTGGCAATGGGAGGTCTGACCATGGGAAGTCTGACAATGGTAAGCCTGGCAATGGGGGGTCTGACAATGGTAAGCCTAGCAATGGGAGGCCTGGCATACGGAGGTCTGACCATGGGAAGTCTGACAATGGTAAGCCTGGCAATGGGAGGTCTGGCCATGGGAAGTCTAACAATGGTAATCCTGGCAATGGGGGGTCTGACAATGGTAAGCCTAGCAATGGGAGGCCTGGCAATGGGAGGTCTGACCATGGGAAGCCTGACAATGGTAAGCCTGGCAATGGGAGGTCTGGCCATGGGAAGTCTGACAATGGGAGGCCTGGCACTGGTAAGCCTGGCAATGGAAAACCGGGCAATGGGAAGTCTGGTCATGGGAAATCTGACAATGGAAAACCAGGCAATGGGAAGTCTGGAAATGAGAAGCCTGCTATTTCACCAAACATGGAAGGATCTTAATTTCCGTTGCGAATAAACAGTTATGAAGACAATGATCAACATCTTTGAACACCCCCTCCCCAGGCTGAAGCCCCTGCTGTCATCATTTACGGATGAGCCTGACAATCCTGGGTGGGCTTTCAATGTATTCCCACTTGGGGCAGGGCTGCAGAGTGTGTACTACTTTTCACAATTACCTTGGTTGCTTTCTGAAGTAATACGTTACCATTTCCTTATAGATTCCAGCACACTGCGTCATGGGTTCTATATCATACTTTACAAGTGTTACAAACAGACACGGCTAAGACCTAAGTACTAAATTAGTAAAGGAGATACTAAGCTCAAACACACTGACAGTCCCAACACGTCTGAATTGAGTTGTTCAAGCCACATTTGACTCGTCTGCCAACGTATGTTTCAAGATGTAGATCGATTTAGCAATAAATGAGTACCCCAGTTGCACAGAAACAATGTCTCGTTCACGTCTAGACCGTCTAGACCTACCATGACTGAGAGCACCAGACCGAAGCGCTTGTTTCCTTGCATTTGTCTTTCTCATTGCTACCTATGCATTGTGTAGGTATGCAGTCTTGCTTGTTATTTTTAATGTTTGGAGCGCGTTAGAAAACCATTAACACATAAACAAGACAAATCTGTGAAAACAAATGTCGTTTTTATGTTAGGTTTGTGTTTCACGACACCATGAACGCTATTATACACCAAGGGGCCCATGATCTAACTCGTCACACCATCAACAACGAATTCTTTCCGGATGACAATCGTATGTTTCTTTATTATGAAATGTTTTTCTAAGCTGTGTCAATTACCCTCATTAATTCAAACTGTATTTCGACACGGGGGAAAACAGTTGTGCTGGCGCCCATTGTTAAAGGAAGGGTATCAGATTGTCGCGATGACCCAATGACTGGTCACGTGACTGATATGCATCAGCATTACACGACGTGAGGCCTCTGATGTGACCAACTATTTAAGTCAACCAGGCTATGTATATTCTCGGTTTTTCTGTACGGTCAGGTCGATGATTGAGTATGTAAATATAACTCACGGATCGTAATTTTGTCTATGTCGCTGACACTCACAATTGATGGTAACCTTTTGGGGAACATTGTTTTATACTTCTGGTACTCATTATCTCTAGTGAACAACGTATAATTGGTGCAGATAGCCAAAATGAACGTCAAGGTCAAACGACAGAGCCTGCAGAGTTAGAAGACGTGATCACTTGCAGCATCTCGTTTGTCCTACATTGGATACATCCATACATACAACTATAGCAGCCATGGCCTAGCACTGACCATAATCATCCACCATTGTGGCCCCCGACCCTCATTCCAGTCAACACCGGGAACATTTGCTCATAGGATCACCACAGCTTAACATGTCGGCCTTAAACTGAAGCACGCCATCAAGGGATACCCAAAGACAGGAAGACCTAACAACCACGTGACCTGAATACCCAACAATGGAGTTTTCTGCAAAGGACCCCGGTGATATGACAACCAGTAAGGATTCATGTCTAGAAAACACTGACCAAATATAGCCCGACAATGTAAGTTTCCTCTGGGTTATGCAGCGCTTTGAATAAGTACTCGATGACTACCTTTAACTCCACGACCATTATACACCTTTGTCATCGATTCCATAAGTGTCCTTGAATTAACATTACTCGGATGCTCAGTGGTAATGCTTCTTTTATCAATGTTCAGTGAAAGAACCAGGTTTCTGTAAATACACAGCCCTTCTCCTTCAAACTAACACGAACTAACTCAAGTCCAGTTTGTTTGCGTAAGTGTGTTGTAAGAGTTATGCCGCAGAATATGTTGCCAACGCTCACTCTCAATATACACTTTGTGGCGTTACAAAACACATTCACTGATGATAACCATTACTCAAAAATGAAATCAAGTTTCTGACCACACATTTGTGTAAACATTGAATGGTTCTTTACAATTTGAAGGTCTTTCCGTTGAAACTCGAATCGAATCACACGAAGATAAAAAAAAACAGTAGACGAATGGACGCCATCCTTTATAGGCAGTGTTAGGGTGGAACGCTCGTTGATAAAGAATGGTCTGCCAACTCCGGGCACAAGGACTGGACACATTTTGTTATAAAAATTGCTCATAATTCAATTGTTTTAACAGACTTGTCAGTGTTTAGCCGTGGCGATAAAACAGGGGGTTGTTTTCTGGTATTTATTAGGTTTCGTTAAGAACAGGAAGTGACAGATATATGAAAAAAGAGTTTAATTTGTAAAGTCAGGTTTGTCAAAAAATGGTTTTCAACATTTTGGGTTGAAAACAACGTATTGATTAATTTTAAAAAATGTTGGTTTGTTGAATATTGTGTTTTCTGAGTATAAGATACGACTCAAAGACCATCTAAGATAGGAAGGCGATATCAGCTTAATGATACGTTCCTCAAGGTAGCTCGAACCATACGTCTCACGTGAGAGTGTTACAGGATGAGTTTAAATCGTCGTTTGTACAGGAACCGCGACTTAGAGCATTGCTCTTCACCAGATATAACAACAAGACCATTACATCGTTCCAAAACATCTCAAGACTTTATACTTGCCGCCGAAAGTATCAAAGATAGGTTCATGTTGTATGAATTTGACACGCCGTGATATAACTGGAATATTATTCGAAGCTACGTTAAACTTAGTTCACTCACTCACTCGCGTAAACATACCACTGATCAACGAAATATATCCCGAAAGCAGGCGACATGTCGTAATTAAGAGGCGACTAACGGGATCGGGTGGTCAGGCTCGTTGACTTGGTTGATGCATGTCATCGTATCCCAATTACGTGGGTCTATGCTCATGATGTCAATCACTGGATTGTCTGGTCCAAATTTGACTATTTACAGACCGCCGTCATATAGCTGGAATATTGCTGAGAGCGGCGTAAAACAACCAACCAACAAACCAACAACCAAAAAGCATTAATATATGTCATAATTAGACTGGTTTCTCATAGGTCAGTAAAAAGAGTTGGTTTTGATTAAAGTATAAAAAAACAGTTAGTAGTTTAGATAGGTTAATCAGATGGAATTCAAATGCTTTTGTTTTATCTTTGCATTTTGACAAGACATAGTGCACATCGTTATATGTATGTGATATGATTTATTTATTTTTGTTTAACGCCACGCTCAGCAATATTCCAGCTATAAGACGGCGGTCTGTAAATGATGGAATTTGGACCAGACAATCCAGTGATTGACATCATGAGCATAGACCCACGCAAGTGGGTTACAATTACATGTATCAACCACGTCAGCGATCACCCGATCCCGTTTGTCGCCTCTTACGACAAACAAAGTCGCCTTTCGGAGCTTTCCCGAACGGCATGGATTGATGCTCATGCTAACAACCACTGGTCTGCCTGAGTAACGTTTTAGTGTCTGCATCCTGCCGTGATGTTGCAGTAAGTGTCCTGTCCGTGGCGTTAAAAACATTCGCTCATTTGCCAAGATAATATTGGAACCATGGGTCAATTTGGATTTTCAACAAGACTCCCATTTAACATCGGGTGGAAATACTTTGAGTAATTCTTGGTGACATGTCTAATCACCCATGCAAAGGTTTAGTAGCCTCTTGAGATTATTTTTAAATGTGGAAGACACAACTCGTCATGACACAAGTTCACAAGTTTTTAAATGAACTTCAACAAAATCGGTCTCTACAACCTTGCTTGTGACAATATAAATCAAATGATGAAGGGTGTGGTTTCTGGAAGCTGAAATCTTGTTGAAGAACGTTTTCAGCAAATTCTGGCTTGATCTTAGTGTGGGTTGATGTGAATGACCGTATGGTCAGAACTTTCGCATACAGAACAGAAGGGGACTTTCTGAAGTGCTGGGGAAACCAGGGCAGTTGGGATGTAGATTATCAGTGGACATTTGCACAGATTTCACGTTTTCTTAATCGAGTAGTTGCCTAATGCTCACATAAGCGTGTCTAATAATTTCTTAACTGCCCCGGAAACAAAGGACTCAAGCGCTCGTTAATTAACCGTCCACACCTTTGAGAACAAGAGATTTTGGTCAGACACATTTATCAAACCAAGTTTCATCAATTGGCTTAAAATGGGGACAAGCCCCTAAGCAGTTAACAAGGAAATCCAGAGACAACTTGCCCAGAATTGGACATTTTTTCAACCTGATACATTGAAACGTCCATAATTCACGTTGATTCCAGGAACAATTGCTTCAAAGCAATTTGTTGGAGTTTGGACAAGTGCAATGGCTGGTCCTAGAATGCATTTGTCAAGCGTAATTCTAGGATTTTCAATTTAACTCCAGCAAATTTGTGAGGCGTTGAGGAAAGGGGGAGAGACGGTGCTGGGCGTTAAGTGATCTCGAAGCTCACCTGACACTTTTGTAACTTTCCTTAGCTCACCTGTGTCTCAAAACAAACATTGAAGCAAAGACTCAGTTGATTCGCAAATAGATCTATTTGCCCCTCATTTCCAAAATAGGTGTAGATCACGGTGGATTGTGATTCCATAACGTGCCCACAGTGCCATAGCTCACCTGGTAGGACCTGGAAGATTACATTAATCTGGTTATAGTTTTCAGCTGAAGGTTGCAGTCTCGTATCTCAGCTCGACTCATGCTCTAATAGCCTTTAGGATCGTATGACCGGCTAGTCTCAGAATTCACCTGTGTGTTTCAGTCATAAAAGGGGAACCCGTGCAAATTTGCAGTCCTGGACAGTTTGGTTCAAATTGTCCAAACACCACGTTGTCTACGAACTCAATAGGTTCTTACACCGTCACTTGCTTGATAACGGTGTTAGTATCAACACCGAAATATCGCATTCATTGTAACACGGAAGTTGTATATCCACAGAACTATCTCCCTTGTTCATCATGCCAACTTCTTAATGCAACTTAAAGAAGTTACAAACTCAATTATTTATGTCCATTGTAGAGGTAACGAATACCCTAATTACATAGAGACATGTATCAGTTTCACTCAGGTCGCTAATTACA